GTTCTCTACAATTGAGCCACATCCTCAGCTCTATTTTTATTTTATTTAGAGACAGGGTCTCACTGAGATGCTTAGCACCTCACTTTAGCTGAGGCTGGCTTTGAATATGAGATCTTCCTGCCTCAAGGTGTGTTTCTGTGGGTACAATGATAGTGTGAAGAAAATTAAATAGAAACCACAACTTGTACCAAATCTGATTATCTTTGGTTTGTATTTATACCATTTTTAATAATAGTAATAATAAAAAGAAAAAGAAGTAGATTTTTGTCTTTGCCATGTTGGGTTTCTCTTAAGATTGAGATTAATGCGGAACTACCTCTACTCAGTATATTTTATAGCTCACTTAAGAATATAAGGTCTAGATAAAGGATTTTTAATCCCCTTATGTGATTTATGCTATTCTTTAAATTAGAATAAAATCTGCTAAGTATTCCCTAGAGGTTTTTAAAATTCTTTTTAGGCTATAAGCCGACAATTTCAGAGAGTTCTGCTAATGCCTTATTTAAGTTGTATAAGAATTATGTGTGTCTATAAGAACAAAAATTTTTTTTTGCAGTTTTGTAGATCAAATCCACGGTCTTTATCATGCCAAACAAACATTCTACCACTGAGCCACATCTCTAGCCTAAAAGAAAAATTTTAAGGAATATGTATAACTGAAGTATAATTAGTTGGAGTAGTAGATGTATGGGTGATTTCTTTTTCTTAAGCATTTCTTAATGTTTCTTTTATAGATGGTTTGCCCAGTAATTTTAGAATGACGTTTAAAATAACCTATATTAGGGACATAGCCACATCAATGTTTATAGCAGCACAGTACATAATAGCTAAACTGTGGAACTAACCTAGATGCCCCTCAGTTGATGAATGGATTAAAAAAATGTGGCATAAATACACAATGGAATATTACTCAGAAATAAAAGAGAATAAAATCATGGCATTTGGAGGTAAATGGATGGCGTTGGAGAAAATAGTGCTAAGTGAAGTTAGCTGATCCCAAAAAAACAAAAGCCGAATGTTTTCTCTGATATAAGGTGACTGACCCATAATGGGGTAGGGAGGGGGAGCGTGGGAGGAATAGATGAACTCTAGATAGGGCAGAGGGGTGGGAGGGGAAGGGAGGGGGCAGGGGGTTAGCAATGATGGTGGAATGTGATGAACATCATTATCTAAAGTACATGTATGAAGACATGAATTGGTGTGAACATACTTTATATACAGAGATATGAAAAATTGTGCTCTATATGTGTAATAAGAATTGTAATACATTCCACTGTCATATTTTTTAAAAAATAAAATCAATAAAAAAATAAAATAACCTATATGAATGTGAATGAAAATTGTAGGTTGATTAGAGAAGTTGGTGCTATTCCTACTTTAGTGAATTTGTCTACATCTGTATTATTTTTCCTGTTTAAACATTCATTTAATTAAATTACTTTTTTGATAATTTTAAATGTTATTTTTCTTTCAGTTTATAATGTGAAGTATTTGGCTTTTGGGTTTCTGTGTCCTAAAATGTCTTTATGCAATGCCTACATTTTAAATTCTGATCATTCACAGATGGGAGAGTTTTTGTTTTATTCTGCGTTCTAAAGATCAGAAATTTGCTTTCTGCAAGTTAATTCATTTCATCAGAGACTAAAACCAGACTTTTGCTGTTTAAGTCAAATACCTAATTTAATACAAACTAAATAAGTAATTACTACCATTTATCAGATCCACCACTGTGTGCTTTACAAAAATTGTTTTATTTAATCCTTACAACCAGGAGACAGTGGGTATAGCATTCTCATTTTAGAGAGCAAAAAATTTGAGGCTTAAAGAAGACACGAAATAATGAAAAATTGCATGACTGTTAAATGAGAATTGGGGAACTTGAGTATAGAAGTATACTACTTCAACTGCTTGTTGGTCTTCTTTTTTTAATTTATATATGACAGTGGAATGTATTATAATCCTTTATTACACATATAGAGCACAATTTTTCATGTCTCTAGTTGTATACAAAGTATATTCACACCAATTCCTGTCTTCATACATGTACTTTGGATAATAATGATCATCACATTTTACCATCATTTATAATTCATGCCCCTTACCTTCCCCTTCCACCCCTCTGCCCTACCTAGAGTTCGTCTATTCTTTCCATGCTCCCTCCCTATCCCACTATGAATCAGCCTCAATATCAAAGAAAATGTTCGGCATTTGGTTATTTGGGATTGGCCAACTTCACTTAACATTATCTTCTCTAACTCCATCCATTTACCTGCAAATGCCATGACTTTATTCTCTTAATGCTGAGTAATATTCCATTGTGTATATTGCCACATTTTTTTTATCCATTCATCTATTGAAGGGGATCTAGGTTGGTTCCATAGTTCAGCTATTGTGAATTGTGCTGCTATAAACATTGATGTGGCTGTGTCCCTGTAGTATGCTGGGTCAAATGGTGGTTCCACTCCCAATTTTCCAAGAAATCTCCATACTGCTTTCCATATTGGCTGCACCAATTTGCAGTCCCATCAGCAGTATATGAGTGTACCTTTTTCCCCACATCCTCACCAACACTAATAGCTGCCATTCTGACTGGAGTGAGATGAAATCTTAAAATGGTTTTGATTTGCATTTCTCTAATTGCTAGCTGTGATGAACATTTTTTCATATATTTGTTGATTGATTGTATATCATTTTCTGAGAACTTGATAGCCTTCTTGAAAGAATGTCTGTTCAAACATTGGCAACTCTGTGAAGGCTACTCTTATTAACCCTGCTCTTGGCTTTAACATGCTTAGTTCTTTGTTTTCTTTTACCTCAGATATTTGATACACATCTCCTTACTTTTATTTCTCTGGTTAATGTATATATTCCTCTTTCTCTTCTGATTTATAATCCTGTGAGAGAAAACACTGTATCTTATTCATTTTGTATATTGGTTCTCTAGAATTATCTTTGGCACTACAAGTACTTAACACATCTTTTAATGTACTGGTAAATTAATTTTATGAAATATTGTGAATTTTTCTCCTAAAAATCCACATCAAATTCATGTATTGATATAGCAGAAATAATTTCTTTAAGATAATTGATATAATGCAGCAAAGCAGATAGTACATGCCTGTAATCCCAGAGGCTCAGGAAGCTGAGGCAGGAAGATCTAGAGTTCAAAGCCAGCCTCAGCAAAAGCAAGGCACTAAGCAACTCAGGAGACCATGTCTCTAAATAAAAAATACAAAACAGGGCTGGGGATGTGGCTCAATGTTCGAGTGCCCCTGAGTTCACCCCCCGCCCCGGTGCCCCAGCCCACTCCCCAAAAATCCAAATCCTTAAGAGAATTGATATAATGCAATTTAGGTTCTAAAATGATGCTAATGTTCAGAACAACAGTATTGTGTTAGTTTTGCATCACTGTGATCAAAATACCATACCAGAAAAACTTGGAGCAAGGAAAACTCACATTTCTTGAGGGTTAGTTCATGGTTAGCCAAGTTTATTGCTCTAAGCCTAGGTGAGACTTCATGGAGGAAGAGTGTGGTGTAGAGAAACTTCTCCAGGCATGGCAACCAGGAAGCAGAGAGAGGAAGAAGCAGGGGAATGGGTCAGATTGCAGTAAACATGTACCCCTCCAAGGGCATGCCCCCAATGAGCCATATCCTCCAGCTACATTACACCTGCCTATAAAGTTGCACCCTGTAAGTCCATTCAAACTCGTATGAATTAATCAGATTTCAGCTCTTACAATCCAGTCATGTCACCTCTGAACATTTCTGCATTAATACAGGAACTTTTGAGGGGCACCTCATATCCAAACTATAACAAATATATTATTGAAGCCTTCTTAATTAATGATTCTATTGTAAGTATCTGCCCAGTTTTTCTTAGAAATGAGTTTTAATTTTAGAAGTAACTTTTAGTGTATTCTAAAAATGCTGCTAGCATTGAGAACAACTTTGGAGGTTTTTTTCCCTTCAGAATTTTTGAAACCTTTCCGTGTATATCCACCTATAAAACTTCATAAATAAAGTTTCAAAATATTTTAATATAATTTTTAAGATGAGAATACTTGGTTGTGTAAGCTCTAGATATTTAAAAGTTTTTATTTTCACATCTTAAAAAGCAGTATACCTTTTCAATAATGTTGAGCTGTGAGATTAAAGCAACATTTCTATTTCTGTTTTTAAACAAAATAGATTTTGAATATAAAAAGAAAATCTAGAAGCCTAAATAATGGAATGATATTACTACTTTATTCTTAGAAGATGTTCAATAAATATTGTGTTTGAAATGTATACTTTTCAGAAAGTCTTATTTACTAATTTGAGGAAGAATAGAAATAGAGAACAGACTTCCTGCCATGTTACTATTAGCATACCTGCAAATGTCATTTCGTCTTACTTAATGTTCAGAATCTTACTTCATATTGTTCAAAGTTTCAATGGTAAGATAAAAACAAACATATATATGAATATAACAATATTTTCAGTGAAGCAGAGCTTACCATATGCAACTGTCACTCCTTCCATTCTTATTTATGTTGACATTTTTTGTAATAAGCGGTCTTATGTTGGGTCATTCGTGTTTAATCTTTAAGGAGCTTTTACCAAAACTTGCAGAAGTTGCAGAAGCATTTCTTTTTGAGGTATACAATTAATAAATAAAATAGTTTTCTTCCCACCAAATGTTGTAATGAATTAAAATTAAAGTGAAGGACTAAAAGTAAGTATTATAGCAGCCTACTTTTTAAGAACATTTTGTGAAACATTGATAATTCAGTGGAAGCAAGTTAGGATGCATGACTATGTTCACGTATGAGGCTAGAAGTTTCTCTCTCTTCTCACTGTTTATCCCTAGTACCTGTCATTTGCCTTGCTTAATAAACAATGTAGTAAAGAGAAAGCTACTTGTATATAGAGAGTGAATAAACATTGATCTTGTAGTTTTTAAATTTTTTGTGCAAATATAAAATTCCTCATGTATTTTATTAAATTCTTTTTTTATAGTTGGTGGCTAAAGGAATAAAGAGTTCTGATGTTTCTCCACCTTTGGGACAGCATGAAACAGGTGGCTCTCCCTCAAAGCATCAGATGAAATCAGTTATTTCTGTGACTTCAGCTTTGAAAGAAGTGGGTATGGTAAGTTTCCTAAAATTTGATACTCCTTAGAGTCCAAAGATTATTTAAAAGGAAATTAAATCTAACAAAATCACAGTAATTTCACAATGTTCCCCCTTTTTTTCTAGAGAAAAGATTACTTAGGATTTTTTTGGTTTACTATGAATATTAGAACCTTTCTGCTCATAGACTTTTATATCTAAGACTACATGGTAATTAAGCAATACAGTCAGCCCTCTGTTTCCAAGGGTTTCACATCTACAGACTCATCCAACCACCAATCAAAAATACTTTTTAAAAAATGAGTGTTATGTTGTTGCTGACATGTACTGTGTGGTTAGGTCTGTGATGATTATATTTACATTGAACATGTTCAAACTTACTCTTGTCTATATATATATATAGACACACACACACACACACACACACACACACATATATATATATATATATATATGTATATATATATATATATATATATATATATATATATATATTTATATGGCAACTATTAAGCATTTACATTCTATTGGGTATAATAAGTAATCTAGAGGTGATTTAAAGTAAATCATAGCATTCACTCTGTATTAGGAATTATAAGTAATCTAGAGATGATTTAAAGTATATGGAAGATGTGTGTAGGTTATGTGCAAATACTCCACCATTTTGTATAAGGTGCTTGACATCTATGGGTTTTGGTATCTGTATGGATAGGAAGGTCTTAGAACCCATCCCTCACATATACTGAGGATAATTCTCTTTTTACCTACTTTGAATATTGAACAAATAAAATGTATATAGGAATGTACTGAAAACAGTGCAACAAATATTTTTATATCCCAGCCCCTCGTGATTAACAAATGTTCACAAGTCCAACACATGTTTATATTTATTTAAAATGTTGTTATATAACAAATGATAGAGGATTCAGTGTAATTATACTTAATTCATCAATTATTCCTGTTGCCTTCTACTTCTGAATCTACATGCTATACAGATAGTGAAGCAAAGATATATGGACAAGTAAAAATTTGAACTTAGACATATGTATTGATCTAACATAAGAAGGTTCTGTTCTGGGCTTAAGAGAAACAGGCTTATAATGTAGAGTTTCTGTCTAGATTTCAACATTTTGATGGAAGGAAAAAAATTACTGAATCATATAACACGTTAACCTCATTTGCTTCTTTCCTAGTAATTAATGTCAATGTCTTATTTTTTGAGTTTCAAAAGTTTTTGCAGACTTCCAAGGTTTTTGATTAGTACACTAATTTTTTTACAGCCTTTGTGCTTGTATTGAAAATAAGACTGAGTAGAAAAATCTGTTTCTTGACCACTCTCCAGACCTTCATATAAGAAACTATTGTTCTTCAAGTAGGTTTTGTCTCTTCTTCTTTCTGTTAACAATTTGCATGTGCTACATTGTTCACTTCAACTTTAGCTATCACTGTGTGGTTTCCTTCCTGGTACCCAGTCTCATATCTCAAGTAGCTGTTTAGCTCTCTCTGATTGTAATGACTGCTAATTCCTGACTACTTTACTGGGTAAAATGTTCCTTATCTCATTTACATGTTACTTTAAAACTGACCACTGCATTGTTTTATATTTTTTTCGAATATTACAAAGTGTGAGGTGATCCATGTAACTAAAATGATTATTCTTAAGATAATAAATTGATTAACATTGCTTGTTTAAAACTTTGAAAATTGTTCTTAGTGAAAGATATCTTCCAGATATCTTTGCTTTCATAACTTAATTACTATGAGTTCTCCTTTTCTTATATTTTTAAATTCTAGGGGCTGGGGCTCTAGTGCAGTTTTAGAGCACTTGCCTAGGATGCTTGAGGCGCTGAGTTTGATCCTCAGCACCACGTAAATATAAACAAGTAAAATAAAGGTATAAAAAATAAAATTTTTTAAAAAAATTCTAGGTGATCTAGAATGATTTCATTATGTTAATCATAAGTCAATATTTATATTATTAATAATACAAAGGACTCAGAACTCATTCTTATTACCCTCTTAGGGAAGAAAGCCAGTTCTCACTTGTGTTTAATGCTGTGTTTTAACCAAAGTGTGTGTGCGTGTGTGTGTAACAAAAAGACGATTTTAAAATAAGTCTATCTTCAATTATTTTGTCTATCAGATTTTTCTCTACCTTTAATTTCTAAAATATGTGAATTAATTTTTTTTTATTTCTACCATTGACTTTAATGACCAAAAATGACTTGCCAAAGATGAAGAAAATATAAATATGTGAGAAGTAAACTGAAGATATTACAAATAATTGAGAATTGGCCTTTCTATTCTATAGTAAGCCTATTAGTTGATAATATTTAAATGTTTACCTTTGCTGATAATGAAGGATGCTGTATTAACATTTTTCAGGAAAAAAGAAGTTAAAAGGAGCAATTTGATGAAAACCAAAAATAATATTTTTTAAGGCAGACTTTTAGGATAACATTATTTTTTATTCTATATCTGTCTGTGTTTAAAGGACATAAATTTAACTGATACCCAGGAAACTTCAGAAGAAATGCAAAAGAACAACAATGCTATTTCAGTAAGTGCTGTTTTCAGAGTTTCTCTGTCAATCATTTTACTTAATAATATACACGTTAAAATTTTACTTAAGGGGCCGAGGCTGTGTCAGTGTTAGAGCACCTGCCTAGTGTATTTGAGGCACTGGGTTTGATCCTCAGCACTACATAAAAATAAATAAATAAAAATAAAGGTATTGTGTCCATCTTAATAAAATGCTTAAAAATGAATTTTAAAAGATTTTACTTAATAATATTTGCATAAAAACATAATTGTTTCAGAGTAAACGAGAAATACTACGTAGGTTGAATGAAAATCTTAAAGCTCAAGAAGAAGATGAAAAAGGAAAGCAGCATCAGTCTGATATTTGTGAGATCATTGTTCATGAAGATACCAAAGAGTGTGAAAAAGAAAAACCAGTTTCATCTGATCGCAAGAAGTGGGAGGTGGGAGGTCAACTTGTGATTCCCCTGGATGAATTAACACTGGATACATCTTTCTCTGCAACTGAAAGTATGTATGAACAAATTAATGACCTATTTTGGTTTATCATTCACATAAATATAAATTTTTGTAGAATGGCTATCTGAAGGAACCAGCACTTAGAGGGATTGAGAGAGGCTGGAAGCATTCTGGTTTGTTCTCCTCTTAGAGAAGTATCTCCCTCTCTTAGTGCAATGTGAAGAATGTAAAAAACAATCCAGTGTTAAGAATAATAAGGATTTTTATACAAAAGTATATAGTGTGAAAGAGAACTAATGATGTTACTTTAGCCCTTTACACCATGTTAGATTAATCTATTACTGGGAAAAATTAATAGTACTCTAGAGTAGTGAACTTTGGTAAAATCTCAGGAAGGTCCCTTGAGAACTTATCAGAGATATTGAAAAGGTCTGATTTAATGATTCATTTATCCAGCAATAATTCCTGAGTACCCACTCTTTTTTTACATTGTCCTGGGCACCAGAGATACACCAATGCACAAAACAGAAACATAGGTGCACTTGTGGTTTTTATATTCTAAAAGGGCATGGACAAGCCTAATTTTAAGGGAAAAAAATTAATGGGCAATTTTTGCCAAAGTCTTTCTCACATTGGAGAAAACCCCAAAGACTTGATAGCATTTTTTTTTTTGTTTCTTTATTCAACAGTTCCTCTTTTTTTTAATAGAAGATGGACACAATACCTTTATTTTGTTTATTTTTTATATGGTACTGGGGATCTTACCCAGTGCCTCACACATGCTAGGCAAGTGCTCTACTACTGAGCTACAACCCCAGCCCTATTCAGCAGTTCTTTATTGAATACCTATACATGCTACACACTCTTAAGCAGTAGGGATACGATAATGGTTAAGACATAGTTCCTGTTCTTAAGGTGGCTGGTGTTTAGTGGGAAGGATGGAAAGTAAGAGGCAACTGGAGCTGATAAATAAGTAATACATCAGGAATAATCATAGGTTACTGTAAGAATAACTGCAAGGACATATGTCAGTCTTGGGAGACTAAGAAAGTGATTACCAGAAAATGTTATATGTTGAGGAAAGAAGTAATTAGCTAAACAAAACCCATACAGAGGGTTTTGGGCAGGGAATAGTTAGGACAGGAGTAAAAATATAGGAGAAGCTCAGGGAAATAGATGTAATTCAACATGGATTTCTAATGTTCAAAATTCACGACAAAGAATGAAGCAAGAAGACTTGGAAGAGATAACCAGAGCTAGATAATGAGGGGGGGTCCTACATGTTGACTCCATAATATTTGTAAAATTTATAAGTTTTCAGCCATTATTTCCTCAAATATTTTTCCTACACCTCTTCCCTTTCTTTCCTTTGTAGACTCCAGTTTCTCTTGTTGACTCAAACTCCTACTGCAGAGGGGAGACTTATTAAAACAAGAATCAGCAAATATCTTCTCTAAATTACCGGATAATAAATATTTTAGGGTTTACAGGCATTATGGTATCTGTTAAACTTCTTAACTTTGACCATGCACACCACCCCTTGACTATTCTGGGACCTAGAGTATAATCTATTAATTTAGTTTCCAAAGTCTTCTGAGATGCCAGAAAGGATCAGATTCATGCGTGTGCATATTGGACTGTGAGTTGAAGTAATAAAGAATTGCTTTATGGGGTCACTTTCTTGAATTTTGTTGTCTTCACTATCTCCTAGTATTTTCTAGTTTCCTGGAACTCCTTTCTTTCCTCATCTGGTCAGAAAGCTGGGACTTTAATTACTTGGCGCTGTTTGAATACTTGGAGCCAAGTGGCCAGAAATTAGAGAGAAAAATGGGATTTGGCCCTGTCTTCTTGATACCATATCTCCTCTGGACAAAAAGGAAGCTTCTTCTCTCCCAGTTTTGACTCCTGTGGGTTCCCATTATCAACTGCTCTTCTCCCACTACCACAGGATTGTATAGGATTTAGGAAAAGAAATTTTGAAAAATGTTGGGGAAAATTGTATTCTATCTGAGCTTTAGGATATCCCTTTCCCTTTGTTCAAGCTAGAACAAGAGAGCTGCTCCTGTACTTCCTGTGTTTGCAGTCTGGTGCCTACTTCTGGGGTTGTGGTGTGTTGAATCTTAACTGGGAAACACTGAGTATTTCACCACTGGTTTAGGGTACTTTGAATTTTTGTCTTCCCCACTGCAGCTGCTTTTGCCTTTCAGAGTTCTCAGTTGCTTTATGCATTTTGTCCTAGTTTTTATAGCTATATTTAATGCGAGCTATGGGTTGATGTGTGCCTTTTCCATCTTAGTAGAAATCAGAACTCTATCTTTTAAGAGATTTAAATTTTCAAAATCTTTTTGTGTTTGCCCATTTAATTATCATTTCTGGTTCTCATGATTTTTTTGTTTCAGTTTGTATTTCTATATTATTTCCTTCTGCCTGAAAGACTTTTTTTTTTTTCAAATCTTATAAAACAAAGAGATTTTTAAAACTTTTGTACATTGAGAAAGTATTTCACCTTAATTTTTTCTACATTCTTTATTGGTGCATTATAATTGTACATAATGATGGAATTTGTTGTTTAGTATTTGTACATACACACAATATAAAAATATAATTTGACTAATATATTTCCCCCAGCACACTTTCTTCTCCCCTTCCTCCTATTTGCCTTTCCTACTAATCTCCCTTTGATTTTTGTGAAATTTCAGCCTTCCCCCCCCCCCATCTTTCTTTTCCTTTTTCCTCTCTAGCTTTCACATTTGAAAGAAAACATATAACCTTTGGCTTATTTTGCTTAACATAGTGGTCTCTAGTACCATCCATTTTCCTACAAATGACACGATTTCATTTTTCTTTATAGCTAAATAAAACTCTCTTGTGTGGGTAAACCACTTTTTTCTTATGTATAGTTAGGCTATTGTGAATTGTGCTGCTGTAAACATGGGTGTTCATACATGGATCCCTATAGTATGATGACTTTAATTTTTTAGGATAAATACAGAAGAGTGATATGTCTGGGTCATATGGTGGTTCCATGCCTAGTCTTTTGAGGAACCTCCATACCGATTTTCATAGTGGATGTTCTCATTTATAATCCCACCAAAGCGTAAAAATGGTCCTTTTTATCCACATCTTCTTCAGCATTGTTATTGTTTGTATTTTTTGTCCAGTTTTTAAAATGTGTTCTTTATAGATATACATGAGAGTAGAGTATATTTTAACATATTATACATACATAGAATAAGTATAACTTGTTCCAGTTAGGATCCTGTTATTGTGGTTGTGTATGATGTGAAGTTACATTGATTGCATATTCATATTTAAGGATAAAAAAGATATGTCCAATTCATTCTGTTGTCTTTTCTATTCCACCCCTCCCTTCCCTTGATTCCCCTTTGGCTAATCCAGTGAACTTCTAATTTCCCCTCCCTTGTTGTGGGTTAGCATCCACATATCAGAGACAATGTTCTGCCTTTGGTGTTTTGAGATTGGCTTATTTTACTTAGCATGATATTCTCCAATTCCATCCATTTACCAGCAAATGCCATAATTTAATTCTTCTTTATGGATGAGTAATATTCCATTGTGTATATATATATATACCACATTTGCTTAATCCAGTTTATCTGCTGTAGGCAACTAGGTTGTCTTCTTAGCTTGACTCTTGTGAATTGAGCTACTATAAACTTGAAGTGGCCATGTCACTATAGTGTGCTGATTTTAAGTCCTTTGGGTATAAAAAAAGGAGTAGGATAACTGGGTCAAATAGTGATTCCATTCCAAGATTTTTGAGGAATCTCCATACTTCTTTCCAGAATGGTTGTACCAATTTGCAGTCCTACTAGCAATGTATAAGTGAACCTTTTTTCCCACATTCTTACCAACATTTATCATTACTTGTATTCTTGATAATTGCCATTCTAACTGGGTTGAGGTGAAATTCAGTATAATTTTGATTTTTATTTCTCTTAATTGCTAGAGATGTTGCACATTATTTTTATATATTTTTGACAGTTCTTATTGTTTCTTCTGTGAAGTGCCTATTCAGTTCCTTTGCCCATTTAGTGATTGGTTTGTTTGTTTGGTTGGTTTTGGTGTTAAGTTTTTTGAGTTCTTTTTATATCCTGGAGATTAATGCTCTATCTGAAGTACTTGTGGAAAAGATTTTCTCCCATTCTGTAGGTTCTTTCTTTACATTCTTGATTTTTCCTTAGTAGTAAAGAAGCTTTTTAGTTTAATACTGTTCCATTTATTGATTATAGATTTTACTTCTTGTGCTTTAGGAGTCTTATTGAGGATGTCAGTTCCTAAGAGGACATGGTAGAGAGTTGGGCCCACCTTTTATTCAAGTAGGCACAGTCTTTGGTCTTAGGTCCTTAGTCCACTTTGAGTTGAGTTTTGTGTAAGGTGAGATAGAGGTTCAATTTTATTCTACTATATAAGGATTTCCAGTTTTCCCAGCTCCATTTGTTGAAGAGGCTATCTTTTCTCCAAAATAAGTTTATGGCATCTTTGACTAGTATGAGATTACTTTATTTATCTGGGTATGATTCTGTGTCTTCTTTTTTTTTTCCATTGGTCTTCATGTCTGTCTGAGTGTCAATACCACACTGTTTTTGTTACTGTAGCTTTGTAGTATAATTAAAAGTCTGGTATTGTGATGCCTCCTGCTTCACTTTTCTCGCTAAGAATTGCTTTGTCTATTCTGGACCTCTAATTTTTCCAGATGAATTTCATGACTGTTTTTTCTGTTTCTATGAAGAATGTCATTAGAATTTTAATAGGAATTGCATTAAATCTGGATTGCACTTTTGGTAGTATGGCCACCTTGACAATATTACTTCTGCCTATCCAAGAACATGGGAGATCTTTCTATCTTCTAAGGTCTTTTTCAGTCTCTTTCTTACTGTTCTATAATCTTCATCAAAGAGATCTTTCATCTCTTTTGATAGACTGATTACCCAGGTTTTTGTTGTTGTTGTTGTTTTTGAAGCTATTATGAATGGTACCATTTGCCTGGTTTCTCTTAGAGCTGATTCATCATTGGTGTATAGGAATGC